AGGGCTGATAGTGGCGAAGGAGGAAGCCGAGCACTCCCTTTCCTCGGCCGTTCAGGCCGCTGAGACTGATCGGCAGGCAGTTGCCGAGGCTCGGAAGAAGCTGGAGAGCGAGCTCGGGGAGCTCCGTGTGAGGGTAGCTTCTCTCCAGGCGTACCTGGCGGCGGCCGAATCTGCCCAGGTGAAATTCTCAGAGTCTGCTTCCCAGATCCCGGACGGTCCTCCTGAAGTGACTGTTTATCGTTCAACCGTTCGAGAAAATTTCAAGACTTCATCAGAGTTCCGGGCGTATGCTTTTGAGCAATTCCCCACCGTCCTCGGGGAGCACCTGGCTAAGCTGACTAGTGAAAAGCGCTAGAAAGAGGGGGTGAGGGTCCTTGACCAGCATCCGGTGACCAAAGAATGGGCAGAAGCATTTGCCCGGGGGGTCTACGGCTCCGGATGCCAGCACATGCTCCAGCCGCTCCTTCCCCTTCTGGAGAGGCAATTGGGCCAACCGGTGCAACTATCTGAATTCTCCGATCTGAACCCCAATCATCTGAACGCCTTGATCGCTCAGATCAACAAATGCACGCGGGCCCTGGGGATGGATATTGTCCAGGCTGTCAATGAAGAGGAAGATGATGATGATGAGGAGGGTGAGGAAAGCTTCGAACAGTAGACTAGTTATTTCCTTTGTATTTCCATTCCCTGTCTTATACATATTTCTTGTAATTTCCGGTCAGTAGAATCGATGAATACAAAACTTTTTGCCCATCAACTTGCCTCCATAATTTTATTATGCATTGCTCTGCTTTTGGACTTAGTTGATTTATTGACCTCCATTCCCATCCTGTTCTATCATAGCGATCGGTCGGTTGTTTGAGATTGTATTCATGAGTCTAACATTTAGGACTTAGCCATTTCTGTGCTTCTTTCCGCCCGTTCGGCCGATATCTCTTTTTAGCGTAAGTCCAACATTTAGGACTTACGCTTTGATAGAGTCAAGAGGGAAATTATGTCCCTAATGGAGATGGAGAATCATTATTGGAAGTAGAGAGTTAAGGAGTGCTGGTATACAGGGGGAGATTTGAACTACTACCTCCGTCCCACTAAGATTGGAACAAGAGAAGGTGACACGATTATTAAGAAAAGTGGGTTTGTGTGGTTGATGTTAAATTGATAAAGTAAAAATAAAGTAAGAATGATTTAGAGCCACACAAACTTTACCAAATTTGGTATGAGACAATCTTAGTGGGATTTCCCGAAAAAGTAAAATGAGACAATCTTAGCGGGACGGAGGGAGCTGACCATGTGGAGTTGGCCAGAATGATTGCTGATTATTATTATTATATATTTTTATTTTGTGTAAGATTTGGAGATCATGTTGTCATTGTGTTGATCATGTGTTTTCAATAAAGTTGCTCTATTTAAAGTATATTCGAACCAGTCCCCCGATGCAAATGGTATGAGTCTAGGTTTTTTTGAACACTTTTGGGACATCATTGGGTCAGATGTGGTAGATTTCTGTAGAGCTATTTTGGAGTTAGGCACTATTTCGGAAGGTATGAATCATACGCACATTGTCTTGATTCCTAAAGGATAGAGCTGAGTTGCTGGATAATTGGAGACATATTGCTCCTTGTGATGTAGCCTATAAGATTTTTTTCAAAAGTTTTGGTCAATAGAATTAAGAGTCTCCTACATTTGTGCATCTCACAACATCAAAGTGATTTTATTCAAAGCAGGTCTATTATTGATAACATTATGATACATTAAAACCTTTGAGTGTCTACACTATTTAAAGCTAAAAAGGCAAGACAAGATGGGGTATGCAACATTGAAACTTGATGAGTAACACATATGACCGTGTGAATTGGGCTTTTTGGAAGGAATGCTAAGACACGATGGATTTACAGATTTGATGGTTTAATATTGTTACGTTTTTGTGTGCCATCTCTTACTTATTCTATCTCATTTGATGAATCCAAGATTAAGCCTATTGTTTCTTTCAGGAGATTGCGTCATGGAGATCCCTTGCCACCTTATCTTTTTAATTGATGGATTAATTGTCAAAAACGGATTTGAAGAAATATACATACTACTTGAAAGCAATTGATTAAAATTTTAATATAAGAGCTTAAATGACATGTCCTCACATTTTTAAAAAGGTGACAATTGCAGTACCTATTTAAAAAATTGGGTACCGTATCTACCATTAACTTGATTGATCCAAATCATTATATCATTTCTAATTTAGATTTAAATAATTCAACTTCCGTATCTATCATGTCTGTGATGCTAACTGGGGGAGAGACCTTTCAAAAAAAAACTGGGGGAGAGTTAATTGATTCATTCATTCATAATTATCGAAGAAGAGCCAAAATCGGCCATCTCGAAAGTACGAGAGGATTATGCTAATCCAGTATGTATGAGCTATGTGGTTTAAGTCAATTAGTTAATTAATTCGACGGTAATAAACCATCTTGCCCGTTTCACCCATACTTCTTTCCCATATTCTATGCAATATATACCTCCTTCACAATCAAATGTTCCTTTTTTAATTATGCATTATTTAATCATAAACAAACATACACAAATTGAATTAAACATGATCAGAGTCGCCATCGCCGTCGCCCTCCTCCTCTTCACCCTTTCACCGTCGCAGGCTCGCATTCAGATCAGAAAACCGAAGTATGGCGTCAGCATTCACCAGTTCTCCAATCCCTTTCCGGAACATGACGTCAAGAGCGTTCTTCGCCTCCCTAGCGAAATGTTAGCCCAGCCCGATAAAGTCGACCAACAAAATGGGCCTATTGAGAACCAGCCCGAGTCTAATGCTGAGGTGGAGAAAAGGCCCACAGAACATTCTTCGGATTCAAACGGCCCGGTAAATAAACATGTGGAGAATGATCAGAAAATTGAGCACCAGCCCGAGACCAACAGCGGCGAAAATAGACCTCTCGAGCAACATTCCAACTCTAATGAGGCCGTAGAAGCCCAGCCTGATTCAATTCATGAGCATAAGGAGCCCACAAAAGGCAGGCCGGAAGAAAATGACAATGAAGCACAGCCCAAGCCCAACAATGAGAAAGTCCGTCCGGTGGAGCCCGAAGCAAAAGACGCCGCCGCAGGGGAGGGCATGCCGTTTAACAGAGCCGGTTTCCGGCCGATAAACCGTCAATTCCGGCTGAGATCAGGTATCCCCTACCGTCTATGCCGCCACAACCACCTCCACCACATCGAAGAAATCATTCCCGACGAATATCACGTCAAAATCCCCTTTGGAGATGGAATGACGCTCTCGTTCGCCGGCAACGGCGATTTCAATCAGGAGGTGTTCCACGGCGGCCGTTTCCAGCCGAATACGTTCCCGTTCCGAAACCACCATCACCAGCACCACGATTTTAACGAGGCGGTGGTTTCAATTTCAAGCCGTCAGTCGGAAAACGAGGACGGCAGTTCTAGCCACGTCACGCCGAAGTGGGTAAAGTTCCTGCCGCACCTCCACCACAACCACGGTCCCCACCATCTCCACCAACATGAAGACGAGGTCACGAAAAGTTCGCCGGAAAACGGCCACGACGTGAACTCCGAGAATCTGAACCACGAGAGCGGTGACGGTGGAGAAAAGGCGGAGAAAGCGGAGGGGCACGGCCATGAAAAGAAGGAAAGCTATATCCAGAAGCAATTCCGCAAAATGTTGAATCAATACTTCTGAAGTTGAAAGAAGAATGCGAATTGCTGCTCTGCTTCAAAGAATCAAATGTGCGCATCAATTTTTGGATTTGAATTAATCCTCATTTTGTGTTGTTTGTTCATAGTTTGTAAATTAAAAATGGCATCCGTGAGTGATGTAGATGATAGAAGAAGAAATTGACACATGTATATATACACTCCGAATTTAGGAGTCAGCCATGTAAATCATAATGCAGATTATAAACTTTTCCCATGTACTAGTAACAAAATCAATAAATAATGCAGATTATAATCATTAAATCATACTACCTCCTTCCATTTTATATTGAGACGGAAGAGGGTGACACGATTATTAAGAAAAGTGAACAACGAATTGACAAAACATAGATTACAGTTTGTGTGGTTGACACTAATTAATAAGGTATGAACAAAGTAAGAATGATTTAGATCCACACAAACTTTACCAAATCAAACATGGTATGAGACAATTTTAGTAGGATTTTTCGAAAAAGTAAAACGAGACAATGTAAGGGGATGGGGGAGTATACTAATAGTCTTTTAATACTACTTGTTATTGTCACATACAATTAGAACACGAACATTTTGAGTCATCTCACTGTATGGATTATACAAGGTTATTTGTCACATATAAAATGATTCTACAAGGTTATAACCTAATTTAGTAAAGATTTGTATTAAATGTTTTAGCTTTGTGTTAGCTATTTGCAAGTGTTCGATATATTACTTTATTTAGTAAACACTAATCCATCATTTGTTAATTTTTTATTAACGGGAATTTTGGTAATAGAAGTTACCTCTCTGATTCTCACAAAAGTTTTTAAAGGATATCTTTAGCAAACATATGAGAAGTGAATCACAAAGTTAATAAAGAAGTCAAACATTTAGAATAGATAGTATGTTGGTAATGTATGTCGGATGATTATATTATCCAACTTATGAGAATGTGAATCGAAAGTTATTCTTGTTTCATTGGCATGTCCATAATGAGTATGCACATTATACATGCAGTTCATTATCAACTCATTCGAAGTATGAGGGACCAATAGACTATACATATGTAGAGTTTTCATACTTGACTTACTCTGCAATCCTTTAGATATAAATGTAGAACTTTATTCGTTTTCCATTAGTTGTAACAATTTAACTTTTATATCATCTAATCTCTGTTTTGTCCAAAGTAAATTTAATAAAATAGTATAAAATCATGAACTGTAAAATGTTGTTAACTTTGTGTCATAAATTAACCATTTTTTTTGTAGTTTTATTAATAGATAACAAAACATATTAGTGGGGAAGGAAAGGAAAAGTATACTAGTATATTTGAACAAATTATACTTCGTATGTGGTTTACACTTGAGAGAATTGGAGTTCCATGTAATCATTTGCAAACCTACTACACAGTTACTCTAGTGGCAAGAAGAGAACTGAGATAAATCTGAAAAAGAATAGAATTGATAAATTAATAGATGCATGCACCATAAAATTTATGGTTAGGAGCAGCTGCTAGTTGTGAGCAAGGCCATGGGCTAACTTGAATAGCAGCACCATAAACATCTGAGCACTTCCATGGAGGATTTCGCAGGTAGGTAACATCACCATTAAGGTGGATGTTGGACAGGCAAATCCTGTTAAAAGGAGCATTCTTCAAACCATGTATCATCCCGGCCTGCAAAACCCTCTCTCCCCAAACATCCCTGATTTTGATCCCACTTACAATCGGGAGAGCCTTCGGGTCGAACCTGTTGTCTGGATGGTCACCCCCATTGTCACCCACAATCTTTATGCCTGTTCTCGCATTCTGCATGTAGACATTAGAGATTGTGATGCCTCTGATGATCCCTCCCCGACCAACACCCGTCTTTATATGAATGCCGATCCCAACGTTGTAGAGCTTTATGTGTTCGACAAAAATGTCTGCTATGCCCCCGGAGGTTTCACTCCCGATTGCGATTCCAGCAAATGGGGATGACCCAGTTATTCTTCTGACTGTAATGGCGTGGCTGGGGCGGGCATAGGCAATGCCGTACTCATCCCAACCGCTCTTTACTGCCACCAGGTCATCTCCTGTTGATATGTAACAGTCCTCTATGCAGACATGGGAGCTTGAATCTGCCATAGATCATCTTGCACATATTAAGTTTGTGTTTCCATTCTAAGAGTTAATTAACTTCTAGCTAAGGAACCGTAGTTCAAAATATATGTCAGCTTGAATATTTATATTTTACCGAATACTGAGATGTTGCAAGACTTGATGTGCCTTACAAGATTATGTCTCACTAGAGCAGACTAGGCACCGGGAAAGGATCTTATTATGGCTATGGAGGGCTGAAACCGAGGGCAATTTAATTTTTTTCAATGTTTTAGTGTAAATTGTTTTAGTTTTCATATTTAGTCTATCCCGGTAATATTTAAGCATAGTATAATTACTGTTCAGCTCAGTCCAACCCAGATTTCTAGATCCGTCCGGACCGTCCCTCAAACTAGAATTGAAAATGGTGTTCTCATTTAAGTCTTGTTTTGATTCATTACTCGCTTACGATATATTCCATTTTGATGTCATGTTAGAATTCGAGTTTCAGATATAAAAAGCTAACTAAAGATGAGATGATCTTATTTATGAGTTCGTAATATTATACTTATGAGAGATAACTGAAATAGTACAGACCTCTGCACTTTTTTGACGGATGTGTCTTCCTTTGCTAAATTTTTATATATGAAGGAATATGTTTTTCTGGTCTAGTTACATGTAAAATAAAGGGTAGATGAAGTGATAACCTGGATCGATTCCATCAGTATTGGGAGAATCAACAGGGGCCAATATCGTAACATATCGAACAACAAAATTTCTGTTAAATGAATATCAACATTATGTACTGTCGTAAAACAAAAAAAAAAATGACATGATATTCTTCTTGTAACTTTAAGTGAAGTAATACTCCCTAGTCTCTAATAGTTTTTTTTGTCACTTCTAATCACTTATTATTATAATGATACCTCTGATCCTCAACTTATTCTAGCAGAGTCATAGTTGAATGACTAAATGTAAAGATATTCAAAGTTAAATAGTGTGAGTGTAATTGACATAATTATATGAGGACTAAATTAAAGTGACGAAAACTTATAGAGAAACACCCCGAGATAATACCGGCAGTAAACGGGGTGGATGTTCCAGAAGGGGGAGTTCTTGAGATTAACATTGGAGATGAGAATGCCTCTGGAGTTGATGAGTTCAATCAGACTGGGTCGTGTGAACTCCAGTGTTCTTCGCTTCCACATGTTCCACCACATTTCACCTTCACCGTCAATCGTACCATTCTCACCTATGACCAAATTAAACGTTTTCTAAAAAAATGAACACTAAAATATGCTTTAGAATAGCTGAAGGCATTGTTTTCCAAAACAAAGGACTATATTTTGCATTCATAATTGCCTGTGATGATCACATCCCGGAGTCCATTTCCGTGGATAAAGCTCATATATCTTCCGCCTGGTCGTTCTCTTCCTCTTCCATATGAAGGCAAAGGAGGAATTAAGGGCCAGTGCCTTGTATCCTGCATCATTAATTTTTTGCATTTTAAAACTATGGAAAAGTAGAGCTAACGAAAATTGAAAATAAGGTCATAATATCATATCATGGGTATAGTCTCAAATACATCTCCATCCCCCTCTTGGATTATAGTCTCCAAATCCGAATGACAAGTCAAATAACTATAATCTGGAAATAAAACTGGACGTACTCAAAGTTCTTAGACAAATTAATACTCCGTACTTTGAAAACAGAACACGAACTCTAAAAGTTCTAAGAAATTACTTCGTACTTTGTAAACTGTAATATGTTTATCTGTCAGGATATGTGATTCTAGCTATTTAAAAATCATAAAAAAAAATCCAGAACTCTTTTTAAAAATCAAATATGATCTAGAATGTATGGTACGGATATTTTAAACTATCAGATACGGAAATGTTTTTGATACACGGATACACTATCTTAATGAAGTAAGATAAATGTATTCCAATTTGTTAGTGGAATAACTAACAATTTTCTAAAGAATAATCTTTTATGTTGCATGGCTAATATTTGGCAAAATCTATTTTATGTATTTTAAAACATTCCAAGATTATGCAGTTTTGTATTATTACTGTGTCCGCTGTAGGTTCTAATTAATTGATATTCAAAGGATTTTTCACATGTCTAAATTCAATTTGTGGTATATTTAAATATGATCTGAAGTAGTCTAATTTAGTAAAATTTTGATATATGTACGTATATTTTCTCATGCGGTATAAGGCCTTTTGGCCTGAATATTACTAAAAATAGAATAAAAGACAGAAAAGTGAAACATTTTTTAAAAATCCAAAAATGTGACCAACAACAAATTAGCCCCTGCAATCCAAAGTGACTCCGGCCAAAGTGCCTCCGACCAAGTGACTACCCCACTGCCACAGTGACTGCCCCACCGTCATAGTGACTGCCCCGCCGGCCATAGTGACTGCCCCGCCGGCCACAGTGACTGCCCCGCCGGCCACAGTGACTGCCCCGCCGGCCAAAGTGACTGCTCTATCGCCATAGTGACTGCCCCACCGCCACAGTGACTGCCCGCCCACAGTGACTACCCTACCACGGTAACCACCACCATTGACGGTCACAACTAGAACCTCCGGTCAACAGTCACCTCTGCCACTCCGGTCACCACCATGACTACTGCTCATCGGTTTCCCAGCAACTAGCAGCTAGCGCCAAGGCCACCACACGGCCCTAACAAGCAACCCTAGCCACCAAGATCTGGAATCTAACCGCCAGGATGTATAGATCTGCAGATCTGAGAAGATCTGTCAGACTCCACCGAAGAAGACAGCGACGGAGTTTCGCCGAAGCGGCAGAGATCGACAAGCTCCACCGAAGATGACAACTACGGTGGTGCTCCAAAGCGGCGACGGTGGAGTTACAGACAAAAGAAAGGGGAAGAAGAAGATTGGCGGCTACAACTGTGTCGGAGAACACGAACGATGAGTAGCGGTAGATCTGCCGGAGAAGACAAACGGCCATGTGCAGCGGCGTCTCGCTTTGCGTGACCTGGAGCTAAGGCATATCTTCTGCCTTCTGCAAGGCATGTGCGATGGTGAAGGCTGAAGTCGATCAGGATAGCAGATCTCAGAGATGAACGATGTATGTGGAGATGAGCACAAATGGGTTAGCAGGTCGCGTAAGGGCATCTCCATCCATGAGATTATTAGAGAATTAAGTTGGTGATGTGGCGGATTAATTTTGGGATCATGGTTGGGTGATGAAGATTATTTAGTGAGATTATTTGAAAAAATAATCCGGGATTGAAATATGAATCCAGATTATTTCAAGATCATTGTTAATCTAGTATTAATTGGTGAGTAATGGACCCGCAAACAATCTGATTATTTTGAGATGATGAATGGCGTGATTTCAAAGGTGTGAGATTATTTTGAAAAAGTCTACGTGTCACAAAAAAATCTGTTTATTTAAATATCATGAATGTGGATGCTCTAAGGTAGGCGCAATTGACGGTCAAGTCATATTTTTGGGAAAAGTATAAACATTAATCTTTTTGTCTTTTAAAAGTCGATTCGTAATATCCAAGCCATTTTTTCGCGGTATAATTATTTAATTATGACCGAATCTGATATAATTTGAGAAAAAGAAATCAAAATAAAATTAATTCTTATTTGTAGCATCCCAATGTAATTTCACAGTTGAAGATAATGTGGAATTTACTTGTAATTGAGAAAATTGAAACTTGAAAGTATAGCTATGGGCTGCCCCGCTAAGATCATAACGTGGAGTGGTAAAGGATATGGGCATTCAGAGTGCTGTTCCGGTCAGGAATTTCCTGACCGGAGCCCCGTCCGGCCTCCTCCATTTGGGGGCTTTCCCGGTGGTATTTTTTGCTCAAAATTTTTGTGTAGGTTCCTCATCAAGTCTAGTTCATCCATACCAAATTTCAGCCAAAAATTCAATCGAGAAGGTCGTCAAATAATATTTGCAAGTTAACTCGTTCGGAAAATACATATTCCGGACCAGTTAACTTGCAAAAATCATTTGACGACCTTCCCGATTGAATTTTTGGCTGAAATTTGGTATGGATGAACTAGACTTGATGAGGAACCTACACAAAAAATTTGGGCAAAAAATACCACCGGGAAGGCTCCCAAATGGAGGAGGCCGGACGGGGGGAGTGGTCCGGCATGGCCGGACCTGAATACTGGTGTGGGCATTCATATTTTTATTTGTTTAATCTTTTTTATCTTTAGCCATTATTTTGAAGTGGAATACAATGCTTTCTTATAGTTATCCAACTCATAGCTGTTCAATTGTATATCTTTCAAGTCACAATATTTTAAACACCATACATAGGGCATGTTCGGTGTTCCTCATCTAAATTTGGTCCCACCATCATCTTGCTAATTGAGTATCTAATAACTATTTGCTTACTCCATTATTTTATGTATTTTACGCATATAATAAAATAAGATTGTATCTTTCTTTATTTAAATTATGTACGAGTAAAATTTTAGATCATGTCATAAAATTTACTTATTTATTCAACTGTATTTTTGAGACTGTTATATGACAAATAATAGGTAGGATTTTTCCTTTTTTAAATAATAAGTAGGATATACGGAGTATTATTTATCAAAATAATACTATCCCCGTCTAATCTTCCCTTAATAAAGTCCTATAATGAGCAAAAAAAGTCATATATATTTCCTCACTTGGTAAACAAAAACGTGTAAAACATTGTCAAAGAGTGTCAACATTGCCAAACAACATATTCCAGAACAAAATTTACCTCTTTTTTTTAATACGAATGTAAGTCAAAATATAAAGATTAAATAGGAAGTATAATACTGCATATTATCCATCTATTAGGTTGTGATGTACTCCGTAGCTAGCAATAAGACTCTGCTTTATTATAGATTACAAAGTTGTGTATCTACAAATAATTTTGTTTGCGTAGACATACAAAATGTGCGAATGATATAAACGAAATTGTGTACACCATGATTGACTTTATTATTAGACTTCAAACGATCCGTCTTACTCAAAAAATGTTGTGGTAGTACTGCTTTGTTAATGTATACGGCCTAAAAGTTCAAAATGATGTTCCTTCCCTCCCCTTAACTTTGTCCCGCTTTACTTTTTTCGTTCGTCCCATTAAATTTGTCTCATATTATATTTGGTAATAGTTGAGTGGCTATAGTTCATTTTTACTTTATTCACACTTTATCAATTCAATATCAATCACACAATTCTATTTTTTCTTAAAAACCACACCACACGTCTCAAACGTTTGATTATAAATAATTAACTAGTTATATTATTCAAAAATCCATTTTTATTTGAATTACCAATACCACAAAATGACATGATCACTATAGAACAAAACAGGGGGTAGAGAGGGTTGGGGTACCTTAATGGCTTTGATCACAGCCCCACTGGACAAGAACAGAGTCATGTGACTCGTAAGGTTGAAAGGTCCGGTTAAATACTCCCCCGCCGGAATGTAAATAAGGGTCCCGCCCCTCCTCCTCATCCGCTCTATTCGGTAAATTGCTTCCCTGAAAGCGTTGGTGTTCAACGTCCGGCCGTCTCCGACGCCCCCGAAGTCCGTTATCGATATCTTGTCATTCCGGTGCCTCATCGGAACTATCCACGAGCATGTTTCCCACTCCGCCACCGCCGGACGGCCCAGAAGCAAAGTCACCGCCAAACATAAGGCGGTTGCCTGTAAAAATCGGAACATGTAGGAGAAAGTGCAATATGGGGTTGGACTTTCAAAGAAATAAAACATGTTCACATATTAAACCCAGCAAATCAAAATGCGGAATTTAAAATGGAGTGAAAATGGTGATCGGAGAAGGGCCTGAATGTGGAAAATCGAAGTGGGGAAGAGACTGAAAGTTTTATGGTCACGGGGAGGGAAAGAGTGGTAGTCCGCAGGTTCTTGCGTAGCTGACAACACTATACATAAGTATATGTCGTAATGTCGGATGTGACAACTTTTGGACGGTATGAAGTTGACTAGCTATCGATGCAAATGGGAGTTTTGAAAGGGTGGGCATAACGGTTTGATTTAAGTAGGGTCGGGACCGGTTCGGTTCTTACTCAAAATGAATGGAACCGTTATAAAAATTTAAACTAATGAAATTAGTTCGGTTTCTATATAAAAAATCAAGAACCGTTATAAAACCGAACCGGTAATAAACGGTTCGGTTTTTCCTTTTATCGGTTCTTAGAATAATTTTTTCTCATCTAAAAATTAACACATAATTTCAAAACACGAGTATTAAAATTTTATTTGAAACTCTAATCACTTCAAACATCAAAGCTCAAACTTAACTAGTGAAATGTGAACACTTGGTAGAACAATGATTTAAATTTTCATGCAATAAATAAAACATAAAAATCATTGTAGTGTGAGAGCAATGAAGGTTACTCGTTATCATAGTAGCAAGAATAGGACGCCTACTTCAAATCTTTCAAAATATAAAAAAATACATTGAGTTCGCATGTATAGATATAAAAAAACATTATTACATTCTATTGAGTCATAATAAATCTAATAATTAGAAATATCATGAAAATAGTAAAGTGAAATATGTGCAATCAACTGCAAATTATTTGGGTTATTTTATATTTATAAAATTTATGTGATGGAACAAAACTTGATATGTAGAAAGGAGTTTAATGTATTATATCAAACTCATGTACAATATTTATTACTTCGCTTTCATTGATTAAATTAGAATTGTTGGTTAAATATCTTATATTGTTTTATTATTGCTGTTATGGTGGTGGTTATTATTGCTATTATATTATTATTAGTATTGTTACTACTACTAATATTATTTTATTTTTTTAATAACGATTCCTTAACGGTTCCATGCACATATTTTTATAGGAACCAGGAACCGAACCATTATAACCTGCTTCGGTTCGGTATTTCGGTTCCTACAAATGAGGTATTAATTGTTAACGGTTCGGTTCCTAGATGTTGTTAACGGTTCGGTTCCAATCGGTTCTACGGTTCCCGGTTCCAAAATCCCACCCCTAGGTTTAACCGAATCGAACCGTACCAAACCGAACTAAACCGAATCGAAACCGGATCGTATGCAATTTGGTTTGAGTTTGGTATTATTTCTTCCAAGCCGTATTAAACTAAATCGAACCAAACCGAAACTGATAAAAACCGAACAAAACCGAACCGAACTAAAGAAACTCAAAAAACTTTCATATATTATTAAAATGAGTGGTTTAATTTGGTTTGAGTTTACTTAAGTAAACCATTTGGTAAACATTTGCTCAAACCGAATGGTTTTGGTACTTGGTTTGGTTTGGTTTAAAACGGAAATACTGTAAACCGAACCGAATACCAAACAACATACACACACACAAGAATGTTCAGGTCCGAACGTTCGGACGGGAGCCTTCGTCCCAACACCATTCTAGTTTTGAGGCAGTTCCCGGTTGAGGCAGTTCCCAGTGGAATGTTTTGATAATTTTTTTTAACATGTTCCTCATCAAGTCTAGTTTGTCCATACCAAATTTTAGCTCAAAATTCTATCGGGAAGGCTTTCAAATCATTTTTTGAAGTTGGCTGCGTTTTTATATGTATATTTTGACGCAGTCAACTTCAAAAAATGATTTGAATGCCTTCCCGGTCGAATTTTGAGCTGAAATTTGGTATGGACAAACTAGACTTGATGAAGAACATGTTAAAAAAATTCATCAAAAAATTCCACCGGGAAGTGTCCCTAACGTCCACTAATATACTTAAAAAGAACTTCATGTGGGAGAGAAAGTGGTCTCATTCAATTGTGAGCAATTTATTTTCTTCGCTTCTTATGCCTAAAAGCACTACACATGAGAGAGAAAATTATCCCGCTCAACTGTTCAGTCTTCTTATCTTATAATTTAAAAGAACTACATATGAGGGAGAAAGTTATTCCGCTCAATTGTTAGTTCTTCCCAATATGACTTGGATCAGAGTTTAAGAATGTGGAATAAAGTGAAATTGTGAGGTTGTGGTTGAGTAAAAAAGGTAAATGAATCTTAGTCGGTTGCTACATTAGGAATCATCAAATAGTCTTTTGTAAGTCTATCTTGTTTGTATGTACAGGATTATTAGTAAATGTTATAAAGACATTAGTTCAACATGATGATTTTTAATGAACTGTGATTTTTAAGATTCTCATTTTTTTAAATGTCATTTTTTCTTTCAAAAAGTCCATTTTTATTAGCCATTGATGTATTGTTACTTTCATGTTCTGATTTTGATATTTATAACCGGTTTGGTAACACTAAAATTGACTAAATCGTCTGATTCTTTTTTAAAATTGATGAAATTGTGACAAAAGAGGCTGAATTGGTTGAATATATTGATTTATGGATGAATTAATTTAAAAAATATTTTATTTATAAAGTAAATAAAAAATTATATGAGAAGTTGTTTAAAATGATTCCGTACAATAACTTCAGTCGAATTAGTCAAAAAATAATAATTTCAATACAGCTAAACTTAAATAGATCAAAGCAGTTTAAAACAAAATTAAAATGATAAATCATTATTTTCATATTTGCCCCTTTTTTTTTATTAAAATAAAGAATAAATTGAACTAAATTTAGAAATTTTATTTTATTAGCACTTGATGTGATTATCATTTTTATTCTCTTACATCATAATAGGAAGGAATAAGGGTTGTAATAGTTTAACGAAGTAAGTAGAATAAAAAATGAAAATAACATTAGATTTTTATTAATCGTAGGGTTGATGAATTCAAATTACTCATTATCTTCGTTTAGACCAACTCTAAACAGAACTAAATGGACCAACTTGACGTTTTATTTTATTAGAACTAACTAAATTTTCATTTGCGGATTTTTAATGTCAAACTAGTGATGCAACTTAATGTCAAACTTTAAGAAAGTTTCTTAAATAAATTTAATATTTTTAGATTTTCTCTTTCATGGCCTGATTTTGAATATAGAGACCGTTTAGAAACCCTTTCATTACTTGAATCTACTGATTTATGGATACATTTAATTTAAAATAATTTTGTTAATGAAATAAATAAAAACATTATAAATCAGACAGTAACTTCAGCCAATTCAGACAGCAAAATAGATCAGAAAATGTATATAGACAATTTTAAGAATAATTATAGAGGCCGTTAATAAATTCTATTTTTATATATTCAATATTGATCTCATATGAAAGATCACAAAAAATTATGAATTTTGATATATTTTTTATAAAAAATGAAAGAAAAATGAAAAAGTTATAACACAATAAAGAAAATTGGGGTTTATATAATTTGGGCCCCACCAATGCATCTCTCCACGGCTGATGGTTCTATTCCATGGGAGAGTTGAGTACTTTTAAGTAAAAATAGCCACGTGGCATTGTTGTATCAAATGAGAGAATTAAGGAGAGCTGGACACCTAGATTTCATTAATGCTAAAATTGACTTTAGATGAGTTGTTTCTTTTCTTATATATAAATAGAATAGAATACCCAATGAAAGTTGAGTACACATCTCCAAGATGCTTCAGGTGCCACTTGGAAGTAGTGAAGATGTCGCATGACATCATCGTTGAGTACCGAGTAAGTCTCTTGGGCTTCTTCTCCCCTAACGTTTACATTGAAATGCCAAAAATGTTAGAAAGTAAAATGGGGAAAATGAATGTCTTATCTTAATTTTGACTTAAGAAAATGTCCACCATTGCTTGATAATGATACCTGAAAGAGCAATCTCATTCATCTCCCCAATGTCGTTGTGCATCTTGTTGGGGGAGTATTTATAAAAGTTATATGGGTTGGGCTCCCGGTCTTGAGCCTGGGAGGTCCGATTATAATAATGGCCCGCTAGCGGGCTATTTACACGCGCTAGTTCCACTAAGTACAAAGTAAACTCACTCGCTGAAGGTCATGTCTGAGGTGATCACGCCGAGGGGACTAGGTCAAGGGAGACTGGCCGAGGAGACTAGGTCAAGGGAGATTGGCCAAGGGGACCAGGATGAGAGAGCCCAGTCGAGGTGATCATTCTTGATTTAGGACTTAAATCTTCACCTTCTGGGCTTCATCTGTGTCGGCGGTCTCGTCTGGCCGAGGCGTACTCCAGTAGCTTGTAATCTTGTTTGTGTATCTATGAGTATGTGGTTCGTGGGGTCCAAACCAATATACTCTATCATATGCAATCAACAAAAATCAAGTTGGAAATTTTCAAAATTTATATGGGATTTTCGAAACCTTAACCCCCAATTTCAACCCAATTGCAAAAATTTCAAATCTTTTGAAAATAACTACTTGGAAAGGGTACAAGAGGGTTAAAACATGCATAATAGGCATCAATATTAGAATAAAATGCAATAATTTAGACCTAAAAGCTATCAATAATTTAAAAAAAAACCTAAAATTCGAAAATTACCAAGAATATTCAAATCTATCAATTAAAAGATGAAAAGGAATGAAATAATAATTAAGCACTGAAGAGGAGGGAATACTACCTGGTTTGTGCTTGAAAATGGAGAAGAAACGAGAGAAGAAGAATCCTAGGTCGGAGGTTACACGAGCTTGCCGGACGATGTTTATGAAGTGTGCGTGTGTTTTTGTTGTAAAACCTTGCGATTTAAAATGTTGCAGGCACGCAAGATGGGTGTCTTTCACAAGCAATAGGAGTATAAAAAACAAAATTATAGACAAGAATGTAATAAAAAGGATATAAAATTGGGTTGTCCAATAAGTGTCTGGTTTAACGTTGTTGGCCGAATGTTCTTGATTAATCCTCCAAGTTGCAAGAGATGGCAGCCCAAGAGTTATTATGGTGTTCCATGTAGAGCTTCAAACGAGGGTCATTGTCAACAAAACGTTGGTTATCACCTTGTAGGATCATCATTGTTCAATATGGTCAGACTTCAGTGATGATGAATGTCCCCAACCAACCGACTTCAATTTTCTGGGAAACAACGGGAGTCTTGAGTAGCAAAGGAGCACTTTTTGCCCAACTTGAATTCTTTTCCACAATTGCTATTGTCATACCAATACTCATAGATACAAGACCTTCTCCTTATAGATACAAGAGTTCTCATATGCTCTATGCTTCAAAGTATTTTGGAGTATAGTATCAAAGCTATTGATACTAAAACATGTAGAATTGTGAAGACTTTTAAGGACTCCCAAACTTGGAATTCTTGCTCCTATTATTCAATATGAAATTTCTAAAAGTTCTACAAAAGTTGGAAACCCAAAAGATGTTTGAAATCATATTTACAACACATTAAACACATGAACTCTCAACTTTTTATTGCTACGTAAGATTTAACCACATCATTATTGTGTGATTTCCAGTACAAAGTCCGGTACAACAACCCAGACTTTAGACAAAATTCAAATGTTCAATGGTACAGATGTACAGTACACAACCTGTAATTAAAGAATCGATACATAATACATACAGAGTTCCTACTACGTAAATAAATACATAATTTGTTGAGAGGAATGGGAAAGAACACACTGACTCATGCTCTCCCCTTACCCGTTGCTGCGGGGAAAGGGTGGGGCAACGCAAACAAGGTGGATGCTTGGGTGGGAATGGATTGCGACCCCTACTTAGAAATAGCAGACACAAACTCCTCAATATTCTTGTCGGAGCTTCCACCTAGATCAACTGCTTCTTTAGCCAGTTGTCTCCACTTTGCAGCATTTTCTTTAAGCAAAATCCCCTCATGTCCCTTCATCACTTCTACTAAACACCTCTCAAACTCTTTTGTGGTGACCAGTCCATTTTTATCGGCCACAACTCGAATCCCAACATTCCAAATATCAACCAAATACTTTGCATTAGTAGGCTGGTCAGTCCACTGCGGCATGGCAACAATTGGGACACCAAGGCTCAATGCCTCCAGAGTTGAGTTCCATCCACAGTGAGTCACAAAGCACCCTATGGCCGGGTGTGACAAAACATCCAGCTGAGGGCACCAGTTTGTTATCATGCCGACATCTGAATTCTCTTCCATGAGATGGGTTGGGAGTTTGCTTTGCTCAGATGACCGGACGACCCAGAGGAACTTGCATTTGCTTCGGATTAAGCCCAATGCAACTTCACGCATTTGTTTGTCATTTAAGTTTGCTAGACTCCCAAAAGAAACATAGACTACAGAACCAGTTTCCTGTGAGTCAAGCCATTCCATGGTTTTGTTGGATTCAGCCTTGAATAGACTCAGCCCATAACTGTCATCATCTCTTACTCGCTTGTCTAGGTACATAGACGGAAGAAGAGGCCCAATAGCGATGACTTTAGCCGGATATTGGGTAGCCATCCACTCCAGCAACTACACAATCTTGTAAGTACTTACTAGTTAACTACACATCATTAAACCATGACAATTTCTGTGTAGGTAGGTAAAATGATTCATATTACCAAAATAATAAGCTTATTTTTGTTAGCGAAATTCAAAAACTTCACACTAATAAATTTAAGGTTTAATCCTAAGAGGCCCAACATGTAAGGCACAAGCCAAATATAAAGATACAAACTCATAGAGAAGACCTTAAAATCTTTTTTCAACTAGATAAGATCATTTACGATGATGTTTCAAATTTTAAAACACACTTCATACAAATGAGTACCAGAACATGTCATTTAAATTCCCATTTTAGTACTCAACAGTTCTTCTTTGTAAACTGGTGTGTAGAGAAACACATCAGATACGAACACCTGATCCAATAGCTAGCATTCTAGCAAGTGGTAGATTTGTATTCCATATATCTCAAGACAAAAAATTCATTGTGCCAAATTACACTAACACACTTTTCCATATTTCTGTTATATGAACAATATTCCACACAGAAAAGCTGCGATGTTAATAATTAGTTTCATTTAAGAAACTAATTGCGAATTCTGAGTTACCACGCATCTGTATATAGTCCTCTCACCCGATCAATTCCTGCCCCGCCTAACTGGAGGGAACCCAACACTATGATATGAAGCGGGAAGAGCATGGGGCGGGATCGGGCTTGGGCCCACTTCCGTGGGCCTGTCACGGGCTGTACTTATAGTTATTTATTATTTTTAAATTAATGTTATGTTTTGTTTTGGGCCTTTTATTAGTAGAGTACTTAGTAGAGTTAGTATGGGCCTAATTAGGATTTAATTAATTTGGGCTTGATTAGGGTGGCTTGTAGAAGGCTATTTATACCCCTCGCCGGGGTTCATTCTCGTTATCTTGGAATAAAATTGGTTTTAGCCTTTTGGCTCTGGGCAACGGTACGTTGATTATCTGGGCAACGGTTTACCCCGTTGATTTTTATTTTTCTGTTCTCATCACACTAACTGCTAGCATTTCAAAGAATGTAAGTGATATTCACTCATCTGTGCACAATACTGATTTAGCCAAATAAATTTAAAGCTCAAGATGAGGTAAGTCGGATTTTATCCTAAACTTGTTATTATTGTTGTTCTCAATTTCCCTTTTGAGTCACCTAAAACAAATACGGAGTAGTGAATATTGCTGAAATGAAAGCCATAAGCCATCCACTGAGGTTTGACCCAATTAGTTTGAAATTACCTGCCTAAAAATGCATTTTTTAAAAAAATACAGCAATGGCACAAAGTGCATATATAGAGCCGAATACCTCCTTTTCCAATTCGTCAAAGGTGTTGAATAAGAGCCAGTCTGCTTTATGAGTACTCAAATTTCTGCCCAAAACATGCTTTAACAGAGAAGAGTAGGAGTTGTTATCGCAAAGGAAAGAAGGCAGATCATCAACCCCCAGAGGCGGCATAGAAGGCAGAGACACAGTTGATCCTTCAACCGGAGCAGCCAAGTTCCCCTTATCAGCGTGATGATATAATGAGAAAACGGCGCACGACTGACTGTTGAATGCGGCGGCTCGCAGGCCCAGCTGGTGCGCGATGTCAGCCACCCATGGCATGATTGAATCGTACACCACGGCCGCCAGAACGCAGCCGGAATCAGTGGCTTTAGACGCAATCTCAGCCAGGTTTTTGGAGAGCAAGTCCATGAACCAATCGTTGATTGCAGCAATGCCATCTGGTTGGCCGCCTCCGGATTCAGGGATGGGTTCAATCCGGATCAGGCTCGAGTTGGTCTGAACGCAGGAACTAGTTGATAAAGGTGTAATGATTGTCGATCCAACTCCTCTAGAAGCTAAACGCTTCGAGAATTGAACCATCGGGGTTATGTGGCCCTGTATAGGGAGAGGAATGACGAAAACATGAACCCTAGAAGCCATTTTTGCCGAGTTAAAGAGAAAATACGTAGTTTTTTTGGTACAATTTAGGTTCAGGTGGAGGGAGAGCCATGGAGGAACTCTAGCTCTTCTTATTTACGTATCCTACCTGTCCCGACTGGACAAGACGTAAGGGGTCCGGCTGATTCGCAGTCGTGGCCACAGCCGGAATCACGGGACCACGGCCACTAGCTAGTCACAAAATAGTCACTGCAATGTCACTAACGACATAGTCACTATAAGGGGCCAGAATGAGATCAGTTGGTCACTGAAACACAAGTCACTCTAAGAGGTGCGGTTGTCACTGCACGACAAAATCACTAAAGACGTCTGGCGGTGGTCGCTGAATGATAGTCACCGGGCGAGTTATTGCCTACCGACAGTAGTTACTGACTGATATAGTCACCGGTAGTGGCAGGGGCAGAACCAGAACAAAAAGTAAGGAGTGACTAAAAGTTTTATAAAATACAAAAATATAAATTATAATTAAAGTTTACGGAATGTAAAAATGGTGAGAAGAGTACATTACATTATTTGGATCACACATAAGATCATTTGGATCAAATTCAAACACGAGGATGTTTTTCTCTATTACATTCTTTGTTATCCCGTTGAGAAGACCCAACGCCTCGTGTTACAATTTTTAAAATTCTTAAATGTTAAAAACGTAACAAGTAAAAAATGTTTTCAACTTTAAATCCTTAAAGAGTTAAACCATTTATTATCCATTTATTGACCTTTTATTGTAACTGGGCCTTCCAGACCCAAGCCGGGAAGCCCAGACCTCTTTTCTCCTATAAATACTCCCTATGGGAGCCATGTAAAGGGGGGTGGTTGGAAGTTGGAAACTCATGTATACATATCACTTTATCTCTCTAGAGATAATCTATCAATAAGCTTGCTAACAAATGAGCGGAAGAATTTTTGTCTCTCATATGTTGTGATTTTAGGTATTATATTAGAAGATAAACTTGTTTACAATTGAGCGGGAGATTTTTTTTCTCATATAATTAGTTCTTTTAAATACTACCTTTGTCCCATTTTATGAGTCTCACTTTGACTTGACACGATTATTAATAAATAGGCTGAAAAAGTAAAAGTTGTGGTTGAAGTTTGAGTATAATAAAATGAAATGGTGTAGGCCATATATTTCTTTCCAAAAAAGGAAATGATACACTTATTTTGGGACAACCTAAAAAGTAAAGTAGGACATGTAAAATGGGACGGATGTAGTATAAGATAAGTCATCTCACAATTGATCGAGCGAGAGAATTATGTCTCATATTTAGTTCTTTTAAGTATAAGATAAACCAGCCAACAATTTAGCAGGATAGTTGTGTACATATAAAAAATTATTGGGCCAATCATAGCAAATGCTACTGAGCTATTTTCAGTCATATTGGGCCTCATTTGAATGGTACTAGGTCAACGCTGAACTCTATTGGGCCACCATCAGATTCTATGGAGCTGCTTGTGATGGTTGTTGGGCCTTATCAACAATATTAGTATGAGTCCATTCTAATAAATTTTAATTATTAAATTAATCTGGATCATTTAAAATATTCAATTAATTTAATTATAAATTAAATCTTTAAAAGAATGGACCAATCCTACTAATTTTGAGCCCATTATCAAATATTGGATCAATATGTAAGAGCCATGATCCAATTAATGAAGAGAGCAATGAATCTGGTCAAGAAATCCATCTGTATGCATAGAAAACGGCCGCGAACTTTGTTAAAAAGGCCGTCCAGATACATTATATAAGTGCTGATTTTTCTAGCTATTAAAATGCGAGCAAATAGAGCCCAAAACCCATTTTAATTGAAGCCCATGGGGTATGGACGAATTTGCTAAACCCTAAAGCATATTTTCACCCTTCCACACCTATAAATAGGGGTCTCAGTTGAGAGGAAGGGGGAGGAGAACTTCCAGTCGAAGAAACGCTTCAGAAAAGCTCTGAAGAACTCACGAAAGGCTCTGAAGGAATCCGAAACATCGGAAGATATCAAGCCACGTTTTTTTCAAGAATATATGTTTAATCCTTTGTGATTTCATCTATTCTTGATCAAACAAAGCCAAAAGTTGAAGAACGTTCGAAGATCTGAAGAACGAAGCTTGAAGATTCGAAGATCTGAAGATCGAAGCTTTGAAGATTCGAAGATATGAAGAACGAATCTTTGAAGATTTGAAGATATTCATATGAAGATTGGATCAAGATTCAACTGAAGATCAAGTCATATATCCCGGGAGGCCCTTTGACAGAAGATCAAGCCATAAAACGGCCCTTTTGTTGAAGATCAAGCTACTTGAAAATCGGAGGTCCTTCAAGCTGAATTCTTTATTCAAGAAGATTTGAAGATCCGAAGAACGAAGGTTCGAAGATTCGAAGATCTCAAGAACGAAGATTCGAAGACCCGAAGAACGTTCGAATATTTGAAGGATTAGAGATTTAATTTTAAATTAAATTCTTTAATTATATTACTTCAAATTGCAAGTGAAGAATCAGAGGATTCATATTTAGAGATTGTACCCTATATTCTCACATATTATTATTTGCGATCAATTTTAAGTAATACTTAAAATTTGTTTCACAATAGTTTTCTCAAAGAAGATCAAACACGGGAGTTGGAGGGCTATTAAAGGGAGTAAATGAAACCAGCTATACTGCACTTCGTGGCTTCGTGTTCGTCCATCTCTGTCTAGCAGAGCTTCTGATTTAGTTCATAGATTTAAAGGCTTAGGCGCAGTGGAGAAAATATAGATACTGGATATTTCGTGGATGGGTCATGAGTGGAGATTTAATTTGAGGAGGTGATGGGTTGAATTATTTAAGCGTAATAAAATAAGTGTTGGGGCAGTATAGTCATTGTGATTACTTTTTCTTACCAAATAGAGAAGTGTTGCAATTATAATGAAATTGCCCAAAATGGAAAGTGTTGCATTTATTTAAGAACGCAGAAAGTACCTTATTTGGTAAAGTTTGTGTGGTTCTAAATCATTCTTACTTTATTCTTACTTTATCAATTTAATACCAACCACATGTCCACATATACCCACTTTTATTAATAACCGTGTCACCTTCTCTCGTCCCAAACTTAGGGGGACGGAGGTAGTATTATTTATTGTATTCACTTAAATTTTATGTCACTAATTTATTGCACTCACTTTTTTGGAATAGTATTTATTTTTAAAACTAACTTAATCATGAGAATTAATAATTAACAAGTTTTAATGATTGGTGTCAATTAATTTTTCTTAATATACTCTTCATGGAAAGAATTAAACGCACATCTCCTTCCTCGTTCGAAAAATTCAGTCTAATCATCATGTACTGCACCCTCTACCTGGTTCTCCACAGCATGTTCGTTTTCTTTTCAAAGTTGCTGGCACACAGTCACGGACTCACGTCACTCACGGTTACCCGCCAGTCCGGCCATTGGAAATTCATGGTTGTACATCTTTGTGCTATAAATAATCCCCACCTAAAGTCCTGAACTGAACACATTTGAGATTCATTTTCGTCGCATAGCCGTGTAAGTTTTTTACTCTCTTGTAATTATATTTGGTTTCTGTGCAATTACAGTTTAATTGTTTGGTTGCTTTGTTTATGTGTGTCTAAGTTGCACCCACCTTTGAATATTTGTTTATGTTTGGTTTTGCTGCTTTTTCATCATGAATATATTTGTGTGGTTCATGTTTGTGCAGAAGAGAGAGAATTAACTAGATCGACAAATTCTTTACTCCCTCCGTCCCTATAAAAAATCCTCCTTTGATGGGGCACACAAATTAAGATAGTGAGAATTTTGTGATGAAGAGTTGTGCAGAGAAGAGAGAAATGTGTAAGAATGTGTAAAAATGGTTGTAAAACACAAATTCTTTGTCAAAAGTGAAAATGTGAGATAATTTTGGGATGAACGAAAAAGGAAAATTTGAAGATAATATATGGACAGAGGGAGTATTTAAAAGGGAAAATGACTAAGTTAATGGCACAACTAAAAAAGAAATTTTGGCAAAGTTTTAAGGGACGGATGAAGTATTTATTTAGAGTCTGTTTGGTGACTGTTTCTTTTGTTTATCATGTTTATCAGCCAACTTTTTAACCAAAAACGTAACTTTTAATTTCACGCACTAAATTGTACAATAATAAGAAAAAGTAAGGTTGTAGTTATTTTTTTGGCTGTATTGGCTGAAGTTATTGTAGATGACCATTTTAATTATTTTTTCATATATTTTTTCTTTGTTTTATTGATAAAATATATTTAAAGATTTTTTTTTCATAAATTAGATAAATCAACCAATACAGCCACTTCAGCAAAACTTCATAAATTTCAGCAGAATCAGTCGATTCAGCCAATTTCAAGGTTACCAAACGGTCTCTTAATGATATGTCTATATGAGACCGTTTGGTGACACTGATTCCTGGCTTATCAGGCTTATCTGTCAATTTTTTCACCAAATACGTAATTTGTAATTTCGTGCGCTTAATTGTGTGATAATAGGAAAAGGTAAGGTTGTAATTACTTTTCTGGCTGTATTGGCTGAAGTTACTGTAGAGGATTATTTTAGCTATTTTTCATATGTTTTTTCTTGATTTTATTAATAAAATAAATTTTAATTTTTTTTTCATAAATCAACATAATCAGTAAATACAGCTACTTGAGCCAGAACTTCATATGATTTTCAAATGAAATGAGAATCTTTTGTTGGGCACGAGCAATCGCACCTTGCATGATAAAAAACTAGTATAAATATATAATCGGTGAAATTAAGCTATCATTGACATTAAAAATAAAAGGGAAATTTGTTGATTCAGTCCCATAACTTATAGCTATATCCGATATTGGTCCTGTAACTTTATTAACTTGCAATTTACATCCCATAACTAATAAGTTGGTGCAATTTTGGTCCTTCTCCGCCGGAACTTATCAATTTCGTCGGAAAAAGACACATCACCTGCCACATGGTATATTATTTGGAACTCATTTGCTGACTCAATATTGGCCCTTAGCTGGAGTTAAAAAATCAGAGTATGAAAGCTCTTCGCTAAGTGCGTGCACAACCATACCAAGCCTATTATCGGATCTGCAAAAGGGGGGAAGAACATATAACTCTACCTGAAGATTTCTCCTGAACTAAGTCGAGAGAGTGAGTTATTCTTCAAATCTGCTAGTAACGGCTCTCGGTCAGACAAAAGTTTATGGAGTGTGATTGTGGTAAAAAGGTCTCTCTTCTAACTTCTTGGACTGATAACGATCCTGGAAGGAGGTTTCGTGTGTGCGCTAGAAGCAGAGTAAGAAGTTCAGCTTTTTAATTTACATTGTTCGCTTCTTTTTTTACTAAATAAACTAGAAATTTTAGAATAGCATTTGAATAATAAATTTGTTTGAAAATTAAAATGTATTTTATATTTTAAGCTAGGTTTTGCTAATAAAATTACCATCTTCTATTTGTTGGGGGCATTTGATAATGTATTTTTGTGTTCAAAGCAGTAAAAAGTAAGTTAAGCTTCATCTTGTTTTGATATAGACAGAAGGTTGTAGATTTTTTGAATGGGCGGAGCCACCTATGTGCCATCGTTGTAATTCTGGGATTGGTTAGAAGACTCAATTCAAAAGAGGAAGATGTTGTAAAGTTGAAGGCTAAAAATAAAAGGCTCCTCATAGTTGTTGTGGGGCTAGTGTTTTTGCTCCTGGTCTTTCTCATGTTAAAGATGTGATAAGTGAATATGATGTAACACTTCAAATGCTCTATTCTTAAAACATGAATCCAAAAAGCTTTAAACTTCATTCAAAATGCTCCTGTTGCAACCAAGAAGAAATAATTTTTTAACTCTAGCTAAGGGTCAACTTTGAGTCAGCAAATGAGTTCCAAATAAGATACCATGTGGCAAGTGATGTGTCTTTTCCGGCGAAATTGGTAAGTTCCGGCAGAGAAGGACCAAAATTGCACCAACTTATTAGTTACGGGATGTAATCTGCAAGTTAATAAAGTTACAGGACCAATATCGGGTATAGCTATAAGTTACGGGACTAAATCAACAAGGGGAAGAGGGAGTATACTAGTGCTCATTCTCAAACTCCCATTTTTTGATGTGCTCATTCTCTATTTAGCAAGTATCTTTCAAGCCTTTTGTGAATATACTAGTATTTATAACGCACGTTGCGCGATTGAGAGAATGCCCAATATTGTATCAATCGTATAAAATTGACATACATTTTTTACCTGGGCTACTGTTGCAAAAAATGTACAAATACAACTGTTTGATGCATTATTTTTAGCATGAAATGTAAATATGTGTACACAACTTTAACATTAGTCCAAACACTCAATAGAAAAGGTGACATATCTCATAAACAACAATCCTCATCACAACGAGAAAATTATAACCACGTCTTTAACTAATAATAAATTCTAAATGCTAAAAAACTTGAGAAGCAAAAACAAAATTAACATATTGGTATTGTTGGTGTTGTATGATTAAATCAAAACAAAAACAACAAATTAAGGGGCAAAGTAGCATCATTCAGGTTCAGTCAAACAACTCACTAGGTACGTAATTATAATAATTAAACCTTAATAGCATACTTTCTTAAAGGGAAATACATTTCTCTCTTCGATCATTAGCCTTTCGGTCTTTAGAGATGCCTGGTGCTTAGTGAGACATCTGCGGATGGCTCTGGTCTTCTTAGGATGTAGAATGAGGGGCAAGTTCTTCTTGTTCTTGTAAGCTATCCTTGGTGCCGCTTTCCGCGTCTGGGAAATCACAGTCAACAGTTAAGCAATTGACATCCTCACCACGTTAATCTTGGAGAGCTTGTTGATGACGTCGTCAGTGCCCTTAGTGACTCGAAGTGAAGCGAGCTCCGTCTTCAGATCCTTCAACTAAGCCAAAAGGTCACCTTCGTCTTCTTCCCCAGCTCATGTACCTTGATCCTCGCCATGCCTCCTCCTCGACATTAGTCCAAACAAAAACATCTAACAAATCAAGCCACACGAAGGCATCACAATAGCAAAGGCTATGCCCAGTGCATCAAAAGTGAGAGTAAGACATGAGCATCAAAACACGTCACTTCTGGTTGTTAGTAGTCATGAGCATCAAAATGGTTGGAAACTTAGAATTGTGCATTTTCCTAAGGATGTACAGTGGGTATTTAAGAGTTGACAAAATAAACATTCCCTAATACTATCGTATCTCCTAAAGATGCATGGGATTCTCTCAATAAGACCTTCTCCCTTTTTAACTTTAGAATGGGGGAACTGGGTTGTGAAACTCAATCTCCATCATCAAAGACGATGAAATTACTATTCATAAAGCAGGATAAATTAATTCTGCCTATCACAGGGAATAGGCAAACAAATTAATTCTGCCCTCACATAAGTTACTGTAAGGGGTGTTTGGAACTGATTCTTTTTTAAAACAGAAGCAGAATCAGAATCAATTTTCAGAAGCTGACACCTCTCAGCTTCTAAAAAACTGATTCTAAGAGTAAATTAGAGCACCAGAAGTGCTTCTGCAATTTCACCCAAATACTCTAGCTACTGCTTCTGCTCCTTGAAGGAGCATAATCAATTTTGAGAATCAGATCCAAACACCCCCTAAATGTCATTCTAACAAATTTACAAACACTTGGTAAAAGACTTATTTTTTCCTTTTCATATTCCCTCATGATTCTCACATTTCCATGCACACATATAAGGGTTTATAGCTTGGTGCTTTCCTAATCCTAGAAGCTCTTCTCTAAGTAATCAGGATGCTCTAATGGCCTTTAATTATAATAATTATTATCAGTTCCAAGAAACATGAAATTTATGAAGACTTGCAAAATATGACGAAAAAAGAATATAAAAAATCATTACAAAGTAATACAAACCATATCCCATATTTGAAGGTTTGTTATCTCTCCCAGCCCTATCAAAATGTTGATAAAATGGTCTAAAGGCTGGGATTTCCTAGTAGTGTTATGAAAATGTCTCGCTTAGAGTGGCTGGCAAACTCAAAGAGTTTTGATTCAATTTATTATTATTTGTACCAAGAAACAAAATATATTTATAACAAAAAATATAGAAACAAGGTATTGCTATATCATAGACCTAAAGCAAGGTTTGGGAGAATTTCTCTCTCCAGGTTCACGTAAACCTGGATGCCAATTTTGTGAAGAACTTCAACATAGCTTAGATTAACATCCTACTCCGTATTAGATTTCTGGCGTTCACTAAATTCATTTTTCCACCCTCCCCAATGGGGAGAGGAAGGGGGAACTTTAGTATGTCTACTAAATCTTATGAGCAGAGGAAAGAAATGGTACCTAGATCCTCTTCGGCCAAGATTGTCCGGCCAAGCGGAAAAGAAGTAGTAGTGGTGGAGAATAATCTCAGCAACCCTTCGGAAATGATAGGAGGTACCAAAAACCAAAAGGAGACTGAACTTATGCTGAGCGATAACGTACCAGAGTCTAGTGACAAAGAAGCGGGTAAAACATCAGATGCACGCCAACTGTTTGATCTAAATGGTGAACCAGAAAATGAAAAGCAGAACAAAAAATCTTGGGCAGGACTTTTCAAGGATAATCGTAGCCCCGCAAAAGGCATGAAACTAAGATTCATTCCCACGGAGGGGGATTGTGTGGATATGAGCATTGGGGAGCCACTTAATATGATAGAAGTATGGGGGTATTGCTTGGTGGGGTTCTTCACAGGTATGTTTCCGGGGTTTAGAGCTGTTCACAAGCTGATGGAAGATTGGGGTGTGAGGTGTAAGCTGCTACCGCACTATAAAGGGTGGTTAGTATTTCAATTCAAAACTGAAGAGGATAGAACCAAAGTCTTATTAAATGGTCCCTATGATGTCCTCGGAAGAATGCTTATGCTTAAGGAACTATCAGAGGATTTCTCTTTTGAGGATGAAGAATTTTTAAAGGTTCCTATTTGGATTAAATTTCCCAGATTCCCAATGGAATGTTGGAATGAGGAAAAAATAAGCCTAGTAGCTTCTAAGGTTGGGTTACCTATCTACACAGATGGAGTGACGAACGAAAAAACAAAATTAGACTATGCTAGAGGTCTTATTGAAGTTGATGTATCAAAACCACCCCCTGTAAGTGTGAGATTGAGGTTAAGGTCAAGGAGGTATTTCACTCAATATGTGGTGTACGAAACCTTCCCAAATTATTGTTTTCATTGTAAAAAGTTTGGCCACCACCCGTTCACCTATAAAGTTCTACATAATCTGGAAAGAGAACAAAGAGAGGAGGAGCAAAGGAACAAAGAACTGTATGTACAAGTCATACCAAGAGATGACATGGAATCAGAAGTCATTAAAGAAAGTGAGGAACATAGAGAAGAGGACCAAAGGAACAAAGAACCATTTGCACAAGTACTACCAGGAAATGATATGGAATCGGGAATCCTTAAAGGATATGAGGAACACAAGGATGTTGAGGGTACAAAAAAAGTTGTCTGTAAACCTTCTATTGAACCGCTTGACTGCAGTGTGGGTCAGTGTGCTGTTACAGAAACAGGGGAGCACAAATATGGGAAAGAACAGGAGAAAAATGCAGAATTGATGATAAATCTCACAGATAAGGAAAAGTTGTCTACTAGGGTCACGGAGAGAGACAAATCATCACCTAAAAACAGAAACATGCAGCAACATGGTCAAATAGCTAATCAGTCTAGAAATAAACATGATGGAGTCACAACCGTTAATGTGTTGAAATCTGATGGGGTAATAAAAGCAAGGACTGCTCTTGAGAAAACTGGTAAAGAAGATAACGTTGGGGGAGGTGGGATTACCCGAGCTTGTGTTAAATGAAGCTCCTCTTGTGGAATATTAGAGGTCTTAATAAGACCTCAAAACATTGTACTATTACGAATTATGTACAGAAACATGATATTTCTTTTTGTTGCTTATTAGAAACTAAATTGAAGGATGTTCAGAAGCTTGAGTTTTTTGCAAGTACCAAATTGAAAGGATGGAGGTCGGGGAATAATTTTGATAAAATACAAGGAGGAAGGATTGTTATTGTTTGGGATCCTGCCAGGGTTAGGTGTGAAATATTGGAGGTCGGAGCTCAATTTATGCACTGTAAGGCCATTGTCTGATCACACAACTGTCTTTTGTTGCTACCGTTGTGTATGCTTTATATTCGGTGGGGGAAAGAAGACAATTATGGGATCACATCACTCACCTTAGCCAAAATGTGTGCATTCCATGGGTAATCCTTGGTGATTTTAATTGCGTGTGCTACCCTAAGGAGAGAATGGGAAGCAAGGAACCATCTGATTACATTGTTAGAGACTTGCTGAATTGTAGAAATCTGCTCAATCTGGAAGATGCTCCTTCAACTGGGGTTGACTATACATGGAATAGGGGTAATAGATGGGCAAAGCTAGACAGGGTCCTGGTGAACCAATATTGCAAAAAAATAATGGGATTAATTGTGTGGATGAGTTTCAAGACTTTGATATCATTTCCGATCATTGCCCATTAGTAGTATCTTTGCAACAGAATGAAAGAGGTCACAGACCTTATAAATTCTGCAACATGTGGATGCTACATCCAAAATTTAAGGAAATTGTGGGTAAAATCTGGAAGAATTGGGTGGATGGATGATAGGGTGAATTTCCTATTATGTATGTTTGTATTTTTAACTAGTTTTATTAGTTCTAGTTGTAGAAATTACACACTTTTGGTGTAATACTTTATTTTCATTAATTATTTGTAATTTATTTAGATTAGGATTATATTGAGCTTAGGACAGGTCAAAATCATCCCAAGAATCAAAGGATGGATCCTAAAGATCAAAGAATGTGCAAAAAGGAGAAGATCAAATGAAGATTTTGAAATTTGTTCAATACTCGGTCGAGTATTGCCAATACTCGGTCGAGTATTGGCCTGATATGCTGGTCAAAATCAAATCTGGGAGCAAAAGAGCGTGGCTGAATATTTGATGAAAATCCTGTCGCATACTCGGTCGAGTATTGGCAATACTCGGTCGAGTATGCCTATTTTTCACAATTTCCTGGAAATTTCCTCTCATACTCGGTCGAGTATTGCCATATACTGGATCGAGTATCGAACCCTGCCACCTCTATTTTGCTATAAATACACCCATTTTCCTTCACATTAGAGAACCAATTCACATATACTTCTTAGCTCAGTTTAGACAAGTTCTTTCTTTATATTTTTCATCATGTTTAGTCTCCAAATGAGGAGCTAAACTTCCATATCTTGGTTTTGCTACTTTGAAGCTTAATGAATTTGTAAGTTGTGAGTTATTCTCTTTAATCTTCTTCCTTGAATATTAATTCTTCCTTCAAATACTATTTCTATATCAATGTTGGGGAGTGTTACTAAGATGACAATTAGTTAACATCTTGACATTAGTTATAGTAATAGCTATTTCTTCCTCTATGTTAATATTGGGGAGTGTTACTAAGATGACAATTAGTTAACATCTTGATACTAACTATAGTAGGATTCATCTTCTTTAATATTCTTCCTTGAGTATTAATTAATTCCTATTCATATTTCATATTAATATTTTGAACATTACTTAAAGGATCAACTAGTTTTGTTTCATATATTAATTATTACTAGAATCGGTCGATTAATACGCTTGTTATTAATTCGGTCCTTTCGTGGTAGTAAACTTGGGTTATTAATGCATGCGTTTCATGGTTAATAAACCAAGGGGAATTAATTATATTGATTAAACCAATAAACCGCTTGTGTTGAGGTTATCAATCTCAATCGTTTTCATCTTGATTTTATTGCTACTATCGAATGAATATACGGCGCGTGTTCTATATTAACTCGGTAGTATGTTTTATTAATGAACGCGTCTCATTATTAATAACTACCCTCGATGAATTGGATATACTCCTCGATTGAGTATTCGAGAGGAAGATGTTTAAAGATATAGCCGGGATCGACGAACATTTCATTAAGTGGATAAAAGCAAAACCAAGTCTCCTTCTCATTAATTAAACCACATAACTCGTTCATCTTCGTGCTTAAATATAATTTAAGTTCATCAACCAATCATAAAACCCCCCCTTGTTACTTATTTCTAATTCTATAAAAAGAGAAGTGTTCCTTTCCCTGTGGATACGAACCTTACTACACTATACTACGTATTCGTGTTGTATTGTATTTATTTTGAGTGCACTTCACGACAAGTGCACGTCAATGGATACAACCAATTCAGACTAATCTCCAAAATACAGATGCTTAAGGCTCCACTTAAAGAGTTAAATAATGCCGAGTTTTCCCACATTTCCTCAAGGGCCAAAGAAGCAAAGAATGAATACAAGGAAGTTCAGAAAGCACTCATGGATGACCCTGATAACCCTATGTTGTTAGATAAGATTCAGAGAGTGAGGAAGGAAGCTACTTTCCTCTCCGAGGCTGAACTATTATACTACCAACAAAGCGCTAAGGTTAATCATTTATTGGAGGCTGATAGGTGCACCAAGTACTTTCATGCCATTACTAAGAGGAATACAACAAGAAATTGCATTGCATCTATACAGAAAGTTGATGGTCTATTTACCTCTTCTACCAAAGAAGTATGTTTGGAATTCACTACGTATTTTTCTGACCTACTTGGTAAAGACAACCAGTGTAAGAAGTTGGATATGGGAGTGGTAAAGAGTGGACGGTTGATTGATCCTACTTTTGCAAAAAAGATGGTGGCTCTAGTAACTCTTAAGGAGGTTAAAGATGCACTTTTTGACATTGGAGAAGATAAAGCTCCGGGACCAGATGGTTTCTCTTCTGGCTTCTTCAAACAGAATTGGGATATAGTGGGTGGGGATTTCTCTGCTGCGGTCATGGAATTTTTTACCAAAGGAAAACTTTTGAAACAGGTAAACCATACAATCATTGCTCTTATTCCTAAAAAAGCTCACAACCCATCTGCAGGTGACTTTAGACCTATTTCTTGTACCAATGTCTTGTATAAGACTATCTCAAAGATCCTTGCCGGCAGAATGAATCCCATGCTATCTGAGATTATTGACCCTGCCCAGAGTGCGTTTGTGGAGGGTAGGGGGATTACAGATAATATTTATTTGGCTCAAGAGTTGGTTAGGGGTTACACCATAAAGTATATATCCCCAAGATGCCTAATTAAGGTGGATCTTAGGAAAGCGTATGATACTATTAGTTGGGGCTTTCTGAACGATGTTCTTCTTGTGTTGGGCTTTCCTACTCGTTTTGTTAATTGGGTCAAGGAGTGTGTCTGTACAACTTCCTTTTCTATATCAGTGAATGGTGGTCTGTATGGATTTATTAAAGGAAAGAGAGGTCTAATACAGGGGGATCCCATGTCTCCTACTCTCTTCTTGTTTTGCATGGAATATCTTTCAAGGCTACTACACTTAGAATCTTCCAGGCCAGATTTCAATTATCATCCTAGGTGTGGCACTATGAAGATCTCTCATCTCATATTTGCCGACGACCTGATGCTCTACTCCAGGGGAGATCTTCGTTCTATCAAAGTCATCTTGAATTGTATGAAAGTGTTCCAAGAGGTAACTGGGTTATCAATTAATATTAACATGTCCAACATCTTTCTTGCTGGAGTTGTAGGAACTGAAAAAGAAGCAATTATGGATTTGGTCAGATTTCCGGCTGGAATTTTTCCAGTTAGGTATTTGGGAGTGCCTTTGGCCCCTCTCAGAATATCAATTGCTCAATATTCTCCCCTGCTGGAAAAGATTGAACAATTCACATTGAAATGGAAGACCAAAAACCTTAGCTACGCTGGTCGGCTGGAATTAATTAGAGCGGTTATCCAAGGAGTCAAATCATATTGGATCCAGGTATTTCCCATTCCTGTTACTGTTCTTGAGAAAATTACTAGCTATTGTAGGCAATTCCTGTGGGGAGGACCAAATGCCAAAGTTGCTTGGGTTGATGTGTGTAGACCTAAAGAGGAGGGAGGGTTGGGCTTAAGAGATTGTAAGGTGTGGAATTTTGCCACGCTTTCCAAGACACTTTGGAATATCCATATGAAAAAAGACACTCTTTGGGTGAAATGGGTCCATACTATTTATTTGAGGGGTACCTCTATTTGGGACTGGATACCAAAAGCTGGGGTATCCCCTTTGTTCACCAGATTGATCAAGATTCGAGATGATTTGTTCAAAGTGATGGGTGGGCAAACTGAAATGATCAATAGACTTTATTCTTTTTGTGATAATGGAAGGATCAAAGTTGGTAAGGTGTATGACATCTTAAGAACCAAAGCTCATAGCAAACCTTGGATGAATTTGATTTGGAAGAAATATATCCCTCCTAAATTCTCGTTTATTGTATGGCTTGGGTTAAGAAATAGGTTGGCAACTTGTGACAACCTGTTGTACATGGATATAGAGAGACGATGTTGTTTCTGCAAATTACATATGGATTCAGTGGAACATCTCTTCTTTAAATGTCCATTCACTAAAGATGTGTGGCAGAGGGTTGGAATTTGGCTGAGATTTAAAAGAAATACTACCACTTTACTCAGCGCTTTTAAAATGTGCATCAAGCTTTATGGAGGTGCAAGGATCATGAGTAAGGCAGTCCGTTTATCTCTTTGTTCTACTGTTTATACTGTGTGGAAGGCTAGAAACGAGACTATTTTTGCGCATAAAGCGGTTAGTGTGGAAAGTATATACTTGCAAATCAAAATATTGGTGTACAAGGTGCTTTTCAAGCGATACCCTGTTTCTCTTATTGATTTTTGAAGATGTTGTACTATGATAGTTCTTGGTTATTAGTTGGGTTCCAGTTCGAATGATCTCTTTAAGTGTGATATGCATCTAGTGATATTTGTACTTCTGATATTAGTGTTTATGATGAAAGAAGAAGGGGTATGCCCCTGACTATGATGTAATAAACTTTATCTCAGTTAATATATTTTTACCATTCTTCCAAAAAAATAGACCTAAAGCAAAATTCATTACAGACCACATGTCCGTCTCAGTACGGAACAGTTGGCAGGTTCATCTGGCCTACTTGGCTACTATGAGCAGAACAAACAGCTTTTGACTTATTTGGCCCAAACGCTTTTGCTTTAATAAAATTCAGCATACTTGGTCCTTTCAGCAAAATAAAAATGTAGCAAGTGTGCTGAATCAGGAAAACTGTGTGTAATTTGAATTTTCTATAAACTTCATCCCCTAAGCATCTTGACAGAAAAACATAGCAAAATTGTGATGTTTTGGGTGTTGATGCTTCTTCCCCTAAGCCCCCAATGAGTTAGAAACAGAACATAATTAGCTATTATTTTTTACCAATTTGGAATTGAGTGTGTGCTAACAACGTGTCTGAAAAAATGAAGGAATTCAGTAGCTCTTTGTAAACTCTATGTATATATCTAAGGAACAAAGAAGGAACCTAAATGAAAAGAATCGGGTTAAAACCAAGGCTCACAATTGCTAATGCATAGACCTAAACTCAAATTCGTTACAGACCAATGAAACATTATATCCATGTTCAGACAAATAAAAAAATTAACATATCCAGCAATGATGTGGAAGGAATAAATATGACGATAAAATAAAAGCATACATTCTTTTTTTCATGTAATCTTAGTGGTCTAACCTGGAATGATCCTTTGAACATCATAAAGAAATTGATACACACAGTCAGAAAAAAGATACGTAGCATACAACTATAATTATAAGTCTTAATATTAAGACATTTCTATACGTATGCAGCAATAATAAATTTTAGGGAACTTTTACCATTTTAAAATATAAAGATCATTATATAATTTACCGGCCTGGTAACAAAAGGGCATGTTCTTGTAACCATCATTATATTATAATAACAAAATAAGGAAGGTTTATGGATGAGTTACCTAACATGCTACAAAACTTACAAGAGAACATTACAGATGCATCTCAACTCTCAAGTGCAAAAGGGAGCCATATTGACGTGCACTTTGTCGCGGTGTGCACTCAAAATAAATATTCAATACAACAATAATACGTGGTATAATGAAGTAAGGTTCGTATCCATAGGGAAATGAATATTTCTCTTTTTATAAAACTAGAAATGAGTAACAAAGATTGTATATGTCGCGGGGTTTTAAGATTGTTAAGATGAACTTTAATTATATTTAAACACAAAGATGAACGAC